ATCGCCTCCAGTACTTCTGTTAGTCTCAAAGGTGCCACAGGACCCTCTGTTGCGTTTTACAGATTCAGACTAACACGGCTACCCCTCTGATACCAAAATCACTAGTTGCTTTAAGAGCCTGGCCAGGATTTTGAGAGTTGTTGCAGGAATGGGACAGGAGTTCACCATCATCTTCTCTTCCCCTCCAGGTACAACACTGCAGTTAGCAAGGCCCATTACTGGGGAGATTCCTTTCCTCTGATGAATCCAGTATGGATCACTGCCATAGTCGAGGTATTGGCCAGAGGTCTCAGCTGGTACAGAACATCCTATATCCCAAACTTCATGGGGTGGCTTGCTACCCATTTAGGACAAAAGTGAAAATCAGAGAATTCTAGGAAGATATATTCACATAAAGCTCAAGCTTTGATAATCCCATACAGGGGAAATCAAACTCCGTGATTATCTTAACATTTCAGGTCAGTGTCTGAACTTGTCAGGGGTAGGAAAGGAAGGGGGAAGAAAGGGCATATGTGAAAGAGAGAATATTGTTACTTTGCTTGAAAAAAATGATCCAAGCACACTAGGATTGATGAGACTGGGGTGAATAGGAAGCTAGAAGTGTCAGGCTTGGCAAAGAGGAAGTGGCCCTAGACCAGTGTCCCTTTGGGGGTGAGATGATAGATGGGCTGATTCAAGCTGTGACAGATGGGACGTGGGAGGAAGTTTTGCTAATGTCTCTGGGCTGGTGAAATCTAAGTAGCTGCTGGCTGGAGTGATGGTACATCCTGTGTGCTCTGGAGTTTCTGGGTGCAATGGGCCATTGTAAGAGGAAGAACCAGTAAGCAACACGTGTTCAATAAGGAGAAGTTGACTTCCCCTCCTTTCTTGTCTCACACATAGAGGTTACTTTGTATTAACAGGAGGAATCAGGTTCCTCCGCCCATCTCAGAGGGGGATTAGGCAAGTTAATAAACATAGAGCTTTGCTGTTGCAAGAGGGTGATTACTTTTGTGCTGCCTGGGGATGACAGGATCAGGATCGCAGAGGGACACTCAGAATAGAATGTCAGGGTTGGAAGGGACCTCAGGAGGTCATCTAGTCCAACCCCCAAATAATGTAATAAGCTGCTGCACTTTGGAAGTCTTATGGAAAACCCAGTTCTAGCATGTAACCTTGTCCCAGGGGTTAAAGTAGATTGAAATGGGAGTAGGGGGGAGCTCTCTCTCTGCACCAGGGGAAGAGGAGTTATGGGGCAGGTGCTCCCCCAAGCCAAGGGGAGTACAGCGAGCTCTCCCTCTGCTTGTAGTAGAGGAGGGGGGCAGCACTGCCCCTCACTCCCACTTTACCCTGCCCTGTTTCCCCATACGGAGTTGTTCTAAAGCAGGAAGTTGTTCAAACTGCCCTAGGAAACATATTAAGTGGCATTTCTTATCCACTCCTAAATGGCAAATGCTCTTGGCAGAGATTAAAATCCCAAATTTGGCTCCGGTACAGAAATGCCCTAGGCCCCATCATGTGGCGTCAATTACATTTTAAATACACATCAAAAAAGGCCAGCAGGGCTCACGGATTTGCTTATCTTCATGCCCATAAAGGAAGGAGAGTCCTCCAGAAGGGCATTAATCCCGGCCCTTGTGCTTATTTGCAGCCTGCAGGGAGGGTAGAGCCGAGCAGGGAGCTGATTCCCTGTTGCTTTGTGCAGCTGTCTTTGTGCCACTGTTGAATCCATCTCTGGCACTAAACTGATCCTGAGATAAGACTTTGGGAGCTCAGTAAGTGCAGACGTGATTGATAAAACTCCTACTTTGTTCCTTCCTTTGACATGTCTATGTCTTGATTTAAAGAGCTCCAGATAAACTGGAATATAGCCCTTCTTCTGTCTTCCTTTGGGAAGGAATACATTTTGTGAATTCTGCACTACAGCCTCACTATGGAATCAAGAAGAGGAAAGGGGCTGGGAGGCAGGAAGCCCTTGTATGTGCACATTGTGGGAGCACCCAAAGGCTTCCATAGTGCAAACTCGTAGCCAAAGATAGTCCCTGCCCTGAAGAGCTTGCAGTCTGAAGGATAAGAACGTCTGTCTTGGCACATTTGTGCTCGGTCTTTAGTTTGCTCCTGTGTGAAGGTCCTTTGTTAAGGGTGAAGTATCACAGATACAGAGACCTTTTGTGGCTGGTGTGTACTGTCGCCTGGTACTTACTTCTCCCAAATTTTCTCAGTTTCTGGCATTGGCACATTTGGCAGGTTAAAATGGTTAGAGCCACCAAAACCAGGAGGATGGCTAATGCCAAAATCCCATACTTCCAGGTGTCGGGAAAGGGCAGCTGTAAACTCTGCAAGTGAAGCAGAATGGAGTTCTCTTGTGTCATCTCCCCGACCTGTAAGAGAGGAAGAAGGAATCAGTGCTTCCAGTGGAGCTGTCCACAGGCCTTCCATTGAGGTGCTAGATCAGCTTTCCTGGGGGAGGACAGGTCCAGTACAAGGGAATTGTGACAAGCAGGAGACAAGGAGCTGGTTTATATCCCCACACTTTCCAGAGGAGCGCCATGGTTGGCAAGGGGTTATAGTTGGTTTCTGGTTTTGGCTACTTAAGATGGGGTTAAATCACTATCC